GCCACAATGCCTGGCTATTTTTTGGTTGCAGCCGTCATTGTTGTTTGGCGGGTCCGGGCTGGATTCGAACCTGCTACCTTAGGTGTATGTGGCTGGCGCCTTAGCCACTTGAGCCACAGGTGCTGAGCCGACTTGATAAATTATTGAGATAACTTTGGGTTACAATAACTAAAATTAAAGCTGTATGAGAACCAATCAAATACGGCATTAAGAAAGAGCCATTTGTAAAAATAATTGTCATTTATTTATTGCACAGGTAATAAAATCACATAGTACAAAATTCCAAAAGCTCAAAAGAATATAACTGAAACATCTCCTCCTGCCACCAGTTCCCCAAATAAAATACTACCTTACCAAGGCAATCACTCTCTGGTAGGACAGAATGGATCATGCATTGTCAAGGGTTCAAAGTTAAAGATCCTCTGCTCTTAAAGATGTATGTCGCCTAGCTCAAGACAAGAGCAGCTTGTTGCTCAGAACTATATTCAGTAAAGTGGATTCTCTACTCAAGCTGGCACAGAGAATACAAACTTGAAGCTAGTTACCAAGAAATCTTAGTGGGCCACCAATTATGAACCGAGGCATTTATATTCTCTGTTACCCTGTCATGCTGGGGTTATGAAGTTTGACTTCCATGTAGTCTTTGACATTTAGTAACATTCACATATATAGTGACAACTGCAGCAGCCCATTTCCTTTCCTTGCCCTTTCATGGAGCATGGAATTGAGACCACATAGTAAATGGAAGACAGCACTGGCTGGGGTAAAAATACCTGGAGGCAAGTACCTGTCCTGATCCCTCACTGGGTCAAGTGAAGTTGGCCTCTCTTTGATTTAACTTCTTCATCTGTGAGAGAGGACAAGTATCATCTACACTGCCTACTCAAAAAGCCCATGCAAGGATCAAGTGAATATGAGAAAACAACTTCTAAATATGAGTTTTTCCTACACTAAATAGACAAAGAGTAAAATGGCCAAGAATGGAAGAGACTCATCTTCACCCAAATCAGTAACACTACAAAACCTGCTTCTTAGTCTCCCATCAGTACCAAGAACAGATGTTGCCTTTATCAAATTTGAACAGAGCTGATGCCTTTCTTTACCAGCAGAAAACCGTGGTTCTCCTACTGAATCCCTGAACCGGTCCATTATGATCAAACACTTCAATGTCTAAAATGGAATTCTAAAAGTGCTACCTCAATTGTCTTCGTGCTCGGACTTGTCCTACTCTCACTTCTGTACATTTGGGAAATGCTCCTACAGAGGAATCTTATTTTTTTAATCTACCCTCTCTGCCTGTGCCTATGTCGGGCCTCATCATGTGGTCTCTCTTTCATGTATTGCCAACAAGCACCTAGGATGCTAAGAAAGTATTCTAAAGTCAAAGCCAAGGGATCTATACCTTGGATTCACTCACCTCACGGCGGGCATCCTTGGACCCTGTCCGCGAGTACCCTCTGGTGGCAGTAGCGCGTAACTGCTGTCACTGCGAAAGAGGTGCGGCGTGCTGCAGCGCCCCCTCGCGTTGGTCTAGGACACGAGCCGAGCGCAAGGAAAGGGGACCCAGCCGGCGGTCCCAGGGCGAGCGCGTTAGTTGCTTCTGGGTATCTAACCGTCAGAGCTCTGGTTGGGCGAGAGGATTGTACATGAGTGTCTTAAAGTCTGATACGCATGCCTGAGGGTTTATGTATGTGCCTAGGTGCTTGAATCCTGCATATCTGCTGTGTTAAAAGTGTGGCGTTATGTGTGAGCCCACGCGTTCACACACGGGTAGGCTGGTGGTAGGGAGGTCCGTGCCTCCAGTGCAGGGCGGAGTCCTCATGGAGGCGTGAAATTGGTTTGGAGCAAACACATTACAGAAAGCAATTACCGGGGAGAGGTTCTGGGCCTGCGGGACCAACAGCCAGGAGGCTGGGGAGGGAGCTTCCTGGCCTGCAAGTAGTCTGAATGTCTAACCTCAGAAAGGACTTTCCTGACATTGCCACACTAAAGAGGACAACATGTGAAGTTAGGCACACCCCCTCATACTGACTGCTCCACATGGTTTTTCTTCCCTTCTCCTTCCTTAAAAAGGTTTCTGGTGATCCAGTGCTCTCTCTATATGGTCAGAAATCCTCCTCCCACTCTTAGTCACTTTAGGGAAGGCACACCTTCCTTCTGTGAAGTCTTCCCAGATCCCAACTGTTCTATACCCCACTTTCCCTTCATGTCCTCAGCTCCTGCTCCCACATTTATTTTGCATTCATTCAATTGCTCTGTGTATTCTAACTAGTTGTTCACACACTTGTTTCTCAGACTAGACTGAAGGGTCACTGAGGGCAGAAGCATGTCTCATTCATAACCGTATGTTTAGTAATAAGGGCTGGGCTCAGGAAGCATAAAATAAACAGATTAAATGGGTTTAATGGAATTTCCATCAAAATTCATAAACAGGACTCTTGGGAAAGCCATCCCTTTAAGAGTCAGGATTCTCTTAGAAGAAAGCTGTACAAATGTCTCACACACCATGATCCCACACCTATGTACCCAGGGCTGTCCCTGTTCCCAAACTCCAGATTCATACATCTAACTGTCCTTATCACACAGCCTCCTTGGGTTGTTTAATAGACAGCTTTAGGCCGGGAGTGGTGGCTCACACCTGTAATCCTAGCACTTTGGGAGGCTGAGATGGAAGGATCACCTGAGTTCAGAAGTTCGAGACCAGCCTGAGCAAGAGTGAGACCCGGTCTCTAAAAATAGCTAGGCGTTGTGGTGGGCACCTGTAGTCCCAGCTACTTGGGAGGTAGAGACAAGAGAATCACTTGAGCCCAAGAGTTTGAGGTTGCTGTGAGCTATGAAGCTATGGCACTCTACCTAGGACGACACCGAATGAGACTCTGTCAAAAAAAAAAAAAAAGCAGCTTCAACTCAATATATCCAACATGGACTTTTGATTCTTGTTCCTTTTTTTTTTTTTTTTTTTTGCAGTTTTTGGCTGGGGCTGGGTTTGAACCCACCACCTCCGGCAAATGGGGCCAGTGCCCTACTCCTTTGAGCCACAGGCACCACCTTTTTTTTTAGAGACAGAGTCTCACTATGTTCCCCTGGGTAGAGTGCTGTGGCATCACAGCTCACAGCAACCTCCAACTCTTGGGCTCAAGCGATTCTCTTGCCTCAGCCTCCCAAGCAGCTGGGACCACAGGCACCTGGCACAATGCCCGGCTATTTTTTGTTGCAGTTGTCATTGTTTAGCTGGCCGGGGCCGGGTTCGAACCTGCCAGCTCCCGTGTATGTGGCTGGCGCTCTAGCCGCTGAGCTACAAGCACCGAGCCTCCTGTACCTTTCTCATCTTCCCCACCCATCCAGTTGTTCAAGCGAAAAAACTGGGAATCACCCCCACACGCTTTTCTTCAGCCCCCTACATCAGCACCACAGTAAGTCGCACTAATTCTCCAACAGGACCCCAAAATCCTGCACGCCCCTCGCCACCTCCTGCCTGGACTATTGCAGCAACCTCGAGTAGCCTCCCGCCCAGCTTTCAACAGCCAGATGCCTTCACGGGCCTTCCCTGCTCTTCCTCACTCTGCTCACTTGGAAGGTTCCTCCCCTCCTCAGAGTAGGTTTCCCGGTCACTCAATTGCAGATGGCTCCCGCTCTGTCACATTTCCCTTTTGCATGTGTCTCCTTCGGCTTACCAAAATCTGACACTTTTCTCGTCTGCTCAGTGTCTCCCTGTTCCCACCAGAAAGCCAACTCAGTGGGGACTGGAGCACAGGCCTTGCCTCCTCGGCCCGCGGCGCCCAAACACAGCAGGCCCCCCACCAGATGGAACAAGAATGAGCACGAGGACATTCTTCCAGGAGCCTCACTTGGGGACAAGACGAGATCACCAGGGAGGCCAAACGAGGCAGTTTCCCCCCGAACGCACCTCTGGGAAAACCACTTCCTGACCCCTGACCTTCACCTTGTGAAGTGGGACCTGTGGGTCAGGGGGCTGACACAACCGAGAGCCTCCACGGCTTGCCGACCCCCAGCCCTGCCCAGACAGGCCAGTCCCCAAGAGGTGCGCTAGGCCTGGGTAGGGACCCGGGCCCACGCCTTTCCTTTCCGCCTCTCCTCACCAGTCCGCTCCATGCCCGCCAAGATCGGCGCTCAAGTACTGACGGCTCTGGCCTCGCGCTCTCCGGCCCCGCCCCTCCGCTCCCACAGCTTTGCACGCGCGCAGCGGTTGGCGGGAAAGTCCAGCTCCAGCGTGTGCGCATTCTGGAGCCGAGGGCGCTCTGCCTGGCGACCCTTGACGTCAGGGATCACAGTGCACTTGATTGGCTGCTCTATGGCAACCTCCTTCTGGCAGGTTCCTAAAATTCCGGAACGTCAGTGAACCTGAGGGTTCTCCTTCTCTTTCTTTTTATAGATGCGGAAACTTGAGCCCAGAAGGCAAGAGACTTTTATGTTCCACAAGAAGTTAATGACAGAGTTAGACTAGAACCAGTCATGTAACTCTCAGCTCAGCGCTCTTGAGGTCACAGAGCTAAACTTAAGGAAGGAACAGATGAAAAGTGGCAGGAACCAGGTGTGCCTGGGGTGCTCCCTGACCTACAGGGTCAGGCAATGATAGAATTGGTTCTGTTTTTCTAGACCTGGGCTTTTCCCTCTCACCTGAGCCATGGTTGTTATCCTCCACGCTTGGCCACCACCTTCCCAGCGGCTCTCCTTCCTCCTCCTTTCACCTCAACTCTCTGCACCACCTGCGTTTATTTTCTTCAGCCTCCTACATCAGCACCACAGTAAGTCGCACTAATTCTCCAAGAGTAACTAATTCTCTGCCTACCTGAAACCCTCGTCTGCACATCTTTTAGGCTTTTTCTAACACTGTCTCACCTGGGGGCCATTCCTTCATTTCATGGGTACATGAAAGAGCTGATAGATACCAAAGGGAAGGTGACACAGCCAGCACTATGGGACAGATATGGAGCACCTGTGAGTCTGCCCATCCTGACAGTCCTAGGAAGGAGCCAGCTCAGAGGATGGTCTGTTGGAGACAGCATCAAACGCAGCCTGGAGATTTTTAATGCACATGCAAGGTTTGCACAGAATAGCAGGGGGCTTCAGGAGAGACCCAAGAGGAAAGTGTCACTTGCATGAGTCCTAACACTCTTCATCAGACATCATATTTGGCTTGCAGAGGTCTGTCTGCCTCTCTCTGTTGGGAATCACAGCATTCACATCTGCCTGTAGAGAAGGACCTCCTGCTGCCAGGGCCACCTGCCCTGACCTGGTGCAGAGAAGCACCCCCCACAGGATGAGGCATCCACTTTTAAGCTCTCTCAAAAGGCAGTGGACAGCTGGAAGGAGAGGTTTGAATTCAGAGATGTCCAGTGGTCCAAGAGTGGGCCAGTTCTGGCCAAGGCCCTCCCTCAACCCTTCCTTTGCCTCCTACCCATCCTCCACCCCCAATGGCTGTCACCATCCACAGAACCCAGGGCTCACCTAGTAGAGCACATCCTCAAAATCAAGCTGCAGGTAGCGAAGGAGCCGGGGTGGCAGGGGCAGGAGGGGCAGGGCGTGGGGCAGGCAGCTTGCCAGGTGGGAGCGGAGGACACAGCGGCTCAGATGCTGCAGTGATCTGGGCTGTCTCACCAAGGCGAAGAGGGAAGAGTAGAAACGCTGATGGTTCTAGGGGCAAAGGGTGGGGCTTAGCCAGGAGCAGCCTTGGATAAGTGACACCCACTCCTCATTACAGGGGTAGGCTGGTGACTGGTGGGGTGTCTACAGGGACCTCTCAGAAGCAGTGTGTCTTAGGAGTTCACACCCTGAGTTCTCTTCTCTTGTGAGATGAACAGGTCACTGGGCAATTTCTGTGTGGGACTGATAGGGCTGCCATTTGGGGAGTGGGACTATCTCTTGGGATCAGGCTAAGTGAGTCTGTGTTCAGGGTCCTGGAGTCTGACCTGCAGAGTTTCAGGTGGTACCAGGCCCATAGCCTCCTCAGGAAGTCGCATGCCACTGTAGGTGTTCATCAGGACCTCGATGGTCCGTGGGGACGTGCACCAGCGCTCTAGCACCTGGAGAAGGCAGAGATGTGTCAGGTCCCCAACCAGTCCATGCAAGGTGGCCAGATGGTTCTTTCTAGATGACTGTTGTGGGTTGAATTTTATCTCCCAAAAGATGTCCTGAAGTCCTAAACCTTGCTACCTACGAATAGGACCTAATTTGGAAATAGGATCTTTGTAGATAATAATCAAGTTTAAAAGAGGTCAATAGAATGGGCCCTAATTCTCTGTGTATGTGACAGACACATGCACAGAGAAGACCATGTGATGACAAAGGCAGACATTGGAGTGATGCATGTACAAGCCAAAGAACACTAAGGATTGCAGGAAACCACTAGAAGCTAGAAGAGACAGGAAACAGACTCTCTCTCAGAGCCTCCAGAAGGAACTAACCCTGCCAGCAACTGGTTTTTGAACTTCCAACCTGTAAAGAAATGATTTCTGTTTTAATCCACCCAGTTTATGATGTTATGTGGTGGCAGCCCCAGGAAACCAACACATTTTGGTTGTGCATAACTTATGCTAGATATTTTTCTTAGCACCTTATTTGTATGAACTTATAATCCTCAACCCTATGAGGTATGGACTGTTATTATCCCCATTTAACAGCCAATGGAAACTGAGGCATGGGGAAGTTAAATTACTTGCCCAAGTTGTAGTTCATTCCCACAGTCCAGGCCCGGCAGCATGGCTTGCCCTTAGATACTACATTATCCCACTCTCCTGTCTGTCTCTACAAGGCTCTATGCTGGATTTTCTGCTGGATAGTAAGAGGTCCCTGGCCTGTGATTGGTGCTCCTGGGAAGATAAAAAGATCCACCACTGTATAAAACAGAATCTTCCCAATGCAAAGTAAGAGCTAGAGATGGCTACAAGAGGGGCATATGGGAGAGGGGCTGGGTGGTCAGGGAGGGACTCACAGGGGGGCTTGCCTCTGAAGGCAATAGAACTCAGGGGGCTTAGGGCATTCAGGGGCAAGGACTGCCTGTGACAGTGGAAGGTTTGGTAACAGCAAGGGTAGGAGCAATTGGAGCCAAATTCATTCTTTCATTTTTTCATTCAGCAAAGTTTACAGAGGGCCACCTATATGCCAATCCTGGAGATCCAACAGTGAGGAAGATAGACAAGGTCCTTGTCATCTGGAAGCTTCTATTTCAGCAGGAAAACATAATACATGCCTAGCTCTATTACTTACAGATCTGCTACTACAATGAAAATGAAGCGGGGTCAGAGGACTGTGCATGGTTAGGGAGGGCACTATTCTAGACAGAGTGGCCAAAAAATGTCTCTGAGCTGTCAGCCGAGGCAGTGGAGCAGCCCATGATGGGAGCATCTGCATGGTCAGAAAGGCAGCCACAGTCCCAACGACACTGTACCTGATGCCCACCTGTGTCTGCCCTCGATACCCATCAACTTCCTCTATTCCATCTCTTGCTGGATCTCAAACCACAGGCAGTGAGCCCAGAGGCTTCATAAGATCTAAAACAGCTAAGTATGGCCTCCTAGGCAGCATTCCTGTACATACCCCATACCTCCCAAACACACACCATGGGACATAACAGCAGGGGCTTTAAAACCTGGGCCTAATCAGCACATTGTACCCCATACATGCATTAATGTGTACATGACCTATACGTTTATGACTTAATTTAAAAATGAAAAAAACAAAACCTAGGCCTACTGAGGAGAAGGGACCCCTCTGCCTGGCAGGTTGAAAGCGCCTTGGGTAGTGGGAGCAGGTGGAAGGCCAAGCATGTCATGTCCAGGGCAGGCACCCCGGGAGGAGACAGTCCACACCCAGGCCCTGCTTCTTGATCTGTGCCTGAGCAGTGCTCTCCCTTTGTGTGTGGGAAGCCTCACTTTACCTCACTCCTTCCAGAACTAGGAAAGAACAGGCTGGTTCTGTCTGACTTTCCTTTCTACCTACTCCTCCTGCCTGCCCATCAGGTTGGCCCCTGTTTATCCCTCCTCTGTACCCTGTTCAAGTGCTCTGCCTGCTTCCCTGCTTGATCCTTCCTCCTCTCTCTCTCTTCAAGAGCTGCTCATCCAATATCCCATATCCCATCTCCTCTGGGAAGCCTGTGCAGCTATGACAGCTTGTCCTGCTCTCTGCCATGTCTAAGGACACCTTATATTGGGACAGTGCCTAGCAGCTTACCAAGGGCTGCTTCCTGGATTAACTTGAGAGCACCACTAGCTAACAAGTATTGAGCATTAACAATAGGTTATGCCCTGTCCAAAGGCTTTATATTTATTAACTCTACTTCTCACACAAACCTTAAGAAGGCACTCTGTTACAGCCCCCATTTACAGATGAGGAAACTGAGGTCCACAGAAGGAAAGAAACTGGCTGAGAAAGCCCAGGTAGTGTGTGAGCCTGCACTCTTAGTCACCACTGACCTCGAAGGTTGTTGAGGAGATTGAGGAAACCCACATAACAGGCAACACCCCTTAGGACAATGTCTAATGCGGTGTCAGTGCTACGCTTGCTCCTATTGTTCCCTTGAAGGTTTTTGTCCCTGTTAGGGAGAAATTGTATCCCATGCAAGGAACTTGGGGTTCAAATAATTTCAGTGACTTGCCTACAGTCACATGGGCAAACATTAACGCTGGATCCTGGATCCAGGTCCAGGTCTCCTGGGAACCAAGTCCGATGTGGTGACTCCTAGAGGACTGGCTGGGGGTGGCATTTCAACACAGCCACTAGGGAAGCCAAGGCTGGAAGGCTTGCAGATTGTGAAGGGGCAAATGGAGCCCCTTGCTCTGCTGGCCCCCTTGGTCCCAGAGACAGGCTGAAGGGTGGAGAAGGACTTCAGGGCGTCCAGTGGGGTACTGGGAAATTCGTTTACTGCTGGAGTCCTCCCACCCTGCCTGGTGGGGAAATCATTAGCTGTCAGAGCCACTTTCAGATTACAGGGAATTGCTCGTCTCCTAATTATCTGGTGTTAATAGGAGATTAATTAGTGTTAATTGTTGATTTTCTTGTATTTTCCCAAAGGGGAGACCAATCTGCCGAACTCTCAGGCTGTTTAATTATTTGGTCTTGCTTAGGAATCCAGACAGATGCTTCTAGGTTTGTGAGCAAAGAAGAGAGGAGGAGACAGAATGGGTGGGTCCAGGATGGGCGGGGCTGGGTAGAACTAGGCCCTAGGCCGGGCCAGAGAGGACGTGCCTCTGTCATCCTCTCAGAAGGCGGCTTCAGTCCTTACCCCTCTCCTCCCCGCTCAGGCCCAGTGCCCTCCAGGACATCATCCGTGCCCTCTCCAGACCTGGCACAGCATGGGGCAAGGCCCCCTGCCAAGAAATCAAAGGCATAGGCCCTAGTAGAACCCACTTAGGGGAAATTAATATAAAGTAAGATAAAAATTGAAAACTGAAGTAGGAAACTTTTCACAGGTAGAAGGACTGTGGCAGCTGGTCTGGGGAGTGTGCATCCTTCTAAGCTCTCAGGAAGCAGGGCCACATCTGTTGGCGGATGTTCAGGGGATCTTGAGCCTCATGAGATAGACCTATGCTTTTCCCTGGAGTATCCGCTCCTGTGTCCAGGTATCTGTCCCTGAACTGACCTTACTGCCAGTTAGAGCTCCTTCAAATGCCCTTATGAAGACCCCTTAATAACACCACATCACCCACATTAGCCCTGACTCCTGTCTTTGTGGACCCTTTATATTCTGGTCCCATTGCCCTCAGACCCCCTTTGCACACATACATGCACACACCCAGGGTACACATGCATGAACATATGCACACACACATGCACACCATGAATACACATGCACACCTACATATAAACACATGCATACACATGCATGCACAATACACATTTCCTGCTGATTTGCCTTTACCCTATCTGGGCTTTGCTTACTTGCTTTTTTTTTTTTTTTTTTTTTTTGAGACGGAGTCTTACTATGTCACCCTAGGTAGAGTGCTGTGGTGTCAAAGCTCACAGTAACCTCAAACTCTTCAGTTCAAGCAATCCTACTGCCTCAGCCTCCCAAGTAGCTGGGACTATAGGCACCTGCCACAACACCTGGCTATTTTGTTGTTGTTGTTGCAGTTGTCATTGTTGTTTAGCTGGCCCAGGCCAGGTTCGAACCCACCACCCTTGGTGCATGTGGCTGGCGCCATAACCACTGTGCTACAGACCCTGAGCCTGCTTACTTGTTAAATGAAAGAGAAAAGGAACTAATCTATGTGCACAGTGTTCTGGACTACATTCTAAAGGAAGCTGAATCACAGTTTAGGTCTCCCTGTCCCCTTACCATGGTGGCATGCCTGCTGCCTTTGGTCCTCGTACCTTAGGGAGGGCCCCTGGCCAGACGCGGACAGCTCCGTGGTTGAGCAGAGCCCTCACCACATTCTCGGGACTCTGGGCCAGGGCTGTAGCTGGGCCCTGTAGAGCACAATGCAGGGCTGTGTGTCCACCATAGTCCATGGCATTGACACTGACACCACAGGACAGGAGCAGCTCCACCACAGCAGCATGGCCACGACGACAGGCCAGGTGTAGGGGCCGCCTCTTGTCCCGGTCAGCAGCATCAGCATCTGCTCCAGCCTTGAGCAGCAAGCGGCACAGCTGGAGGCAGCGGGTGGTGGTAGCCTCAGCATCTGCGGGAGACTGGCAGCGGGTATCACAGGCAGCCAGCAGTGGAGTCCAGCCTTCTGAATCACGAGCATCAGGGCATGCCCCACGTCTTAGAAGCAGGTCTGCCAGCTCCACATGGCCAAGCCGGGCGGCCACATGCAAAGGAGTCTCCTTTTCTTCCTCGGACTGACCATTCACACTTGCCCCAAACCGCAGGAGCAGCTCTGCACACCTAGTAAGGGTGAGATGGCGATGGGAGGAAAGCGGGCATAGACCTCTTGCCTTCCTTGCAATCTGAGCAAAGAGAACAAGGCAGGGAGCCTTGGGTGGCTGTGAGTTCTGTCTCCCCCCATCTTCCATCCTGTCTGTCCTCTTAACATTCAAATAGTTTCTGCTGGAATAGTTCACCAAATCCTGAATGGGAGTAAAAGTCACAGCAGTTATCACTCAGAACAGGACCTTCCTAAGGGCTCTACATACGTTAACTGATTTAATCCTCACAACATTCCCATGGTAGGTTCTCTGATGAGCCTCAAGTCACAGATGAGGAAACTGAGTCTCTGGGGGGTTTGAGGATCCCAACCAAATTTGTGCAGCTGCTAAGGGGAGGAACTGGTGCTAGGGTCCAGGAGCAGCAGGGCAGTTGGAAAGCTCTTCATGCTGGGACTAGAGGAGCAGGAGGGGGCTTTGATGGATATGGGGGCAGTGGGACAAAGAAGAGCAAGACCAAAACTGGCCAAGCAGACACACTCCAATATGGCTCCTACAGAAGATTGCACGTGCCTGCAGGAAGTGCAGAAAGAGGCAGTAATGTGTGCCCCAAAGGGGACTTAGCCTCTTTGAGCTCCAGTTTCTTCATGTGTAGAATGGGGACAATCAATAATATCTTGACCTCATGAAGTTGTTGAGACCAACATGTGAGATAAGGCCTGAAAGGCTGTCATCATAAGAGCTCAAAAATGGCAGCAATTGGCAGAGGACTGTGTGGTGTAGACAGGGATGGATCATGGGGGCTCATTAGATTATCCTGTCTACCTCTCTGTATGTTTGAAATGTTACATAATAATTTTAAAATTATCTTTGGATGTGACCTCAGGGGGGCTGAAGGGAACATAGAACTAAACATGTGGGATTATAAGGAACCTTACTGTCCAGTGGTAGCCACTAGCCACATGTGGCTACTAAGCAATTGCAATCCAGCTAGTCTTAACTGTGATGTGCTGTAAGTGTTAAATACACACCAATTTTGAAGACTAAACACAATAAAATATGTAAAATATCCCAGTTTTTACATAATGAAATAACATATGGATATATTACGTTAAATATATTATTATAATTAATAATTTCACCTATTTCACAGATATTTGTACACCCATGTTCATAGCAGCATTATTCACAGTAGCCAAAATGTGGACGCAACCCATGTGTTGAATTGATGAATAAACAAAATGTGGTATCTATGTACAATGAAATATTTTATATTTATTCAGCCTTAAAAAGAAAGGGAATTCTGACATGTGACAACATGAATAAACCCTAAGTAGAAAAAGACAGGCACAAAAGGACAAATACTATATGAATCCACTCATATGAGGTCTCTAGAGTAGTCAAACTCATAGAGACAAAAGGTAGAATAGTGATTGCCAGGGAACTGGGGGAGGGAGAGAGTTAATGTTTGATAGGTGCAGAGTTTTAGTTTGGGATGATGACAAAGTTTAGAGATAGACGTGGTGATGATTACACAACAACGTGAGTGTACCTAATGCCACTGAACTGTAAACTTAAAAATGGATAAAATGGTAGATTTTGTAGATATTTTTAATGCAATTTAAAAATTAATTTTACAGATTTCTTTTCCTTTTTAATTTTTTTAAAAGATAGGATCTCACTCTGTCACGTAGGCTGGAGTGCAGTGGCCTGATCACAGCTCACTGTAACCTTAAATTCCTGGGCCCGGCAATCTTCCTGAGTAGCTGGAACTATAGGCATGCACCACTGAGCCCAGCTAATTTTAAAATTTTTGCCTAGGCTGGTTTCAAACTCCTGACATCAAGTGATTCTCCCTTCTCAGTCTTCCAAAGTACTGGGATTATAGGCATGAGCCATTGCACTCAGGCTTTATTTATTTATTTTGTTAGGGCTATGAGAAAATTCTAAATTGCATATGTGGCTCACATTAGATTCCTGTTGGACCATGCTGGCATAAAACAATCTTCAACAGTACTATGATTAAGTCCATGGAATCCTCCGGAGGCTGATAAGGCTAACAAGAGGAAGAGATTACATGAAAGGGACCTCCAAGGATCAATACTTTGGCACTATTCAGGGGTAAGATGCAGAATCCAGCAGGCGTACAGTCAGCAGAGAGAGGCCCTCTATCGTATGCAGACTTAGTGCATAAGTTTGCTGAGGCTCCCTTTGCCTGGATTCCATGTTCATCAAAAAATTATAAGTGGAGACTTATTCTTCCAGGTTCCTTATGCGTAGAACATAATTATTTAGGCCAACAATAAATAACATATTGATACATCTGGGTGTTTTCATTAGTTTCTTGTGAGTTTGGTCAGTGACAGTCACTTGATCCCATTTATCTGAGGGTGCCCTGCCAATAAGAAGATGCCAGACCTGCCTGGCTGAGAACCAGGCCCTGCACACAGAGACCACAACAGGCCCCAACTGGGGCCACTGCCCTCTGCAGCCTGACAGGATCCCCTGAGGGCAGGATCATGCCTTAGTTGCTGCTGTACTTAGCACAGGGCCTGAAACACAGAGTAAACTCAGAAAACATTAAAACTGTAAGCAACACCACCTCCCCATCATGAAATCTAGGTGATTTCCTAACATAGACCATCAACTGGGCCCCTGCCACAGCTTTCCTCTACCCCTCAGAAACCAGAAAATGGCCCAAAGTTCAGGCCACTCCAAAGGTCATGGGGCCAATGGGTGAATTGGGAATTTCACCCTAACCCCCATCCCAAGCCCAGATTGTGCTACCTCAGCCTACCAAGACTGCCAGCTCTAATATGCCCCCTCGCCTTCCCTGAGAAGGCCTCTCTGCCTCCCCTCAGAGTGGAACCAGGGGTCAATGTGAGGGGTCACTCACTCAAGGGTGCCAGGCCCCTGGCAGAGATGCAAGGGCCGTTTCCCATCCTGGTCCGGGATGTTGGGGTCTGCTCCTGCCACCAGCAGCACATGGACGCAGGCCGTGTGGCCCCCCACACAGGCCTCGTGCAGAGCAGTGCGGCCCCCAGGGGCACTGTCTGGCCTTGCCCTCCGCCTCAGTAAGAGCCGCAGAACTTCTGTATGGCCACGGCTGGCCGCCACATGCAGTGGGGTGGTCAGCTCCTCTTCGTATGTCAGAGACCAGAGTCCTAGGAAGAGGGGAACATGGGCCTTAGTTCCTAAGGGGAAGTAAAGAGCTGCCAGCCAACAGCGTGCAATGGGCAGAGGCAGGAAGCAGGAGCTGGAGCTCCACTGCAGCCAGAGCTCCACTGCAGCCACCCCTCTCCCACTCCGAAGCCCCATGCCCCTGGCCCGTACTCAGAGCGCGGATGTTGAAGCGGAAATCCCTCCATCGCTCAGGGTCGCTGGTATCAAAGACAGAATCAGGAGCCAGACCAGTACTGGAGTCTGCCAGGATGCGGGAGACAGAGCCCGCATCCCCGGCCAGCACTGCCTGCCAGAAGGTAAGGGCAGGTCCCGAGGCTGTGCGGGTGACGATGGGTCCCGGGCCAGCCTCAGGGTCCTCCTCAGCCCCTCTGCTGGGCTTCTCCACCAGCCTGGCACAGAGGGTGTGTCTGTCACCTGGGGGCTCTCCCTGCCCCCCACACTCTTCTGGGGACCAGCTCATGAGCATGTGGGAAGAGGAAGGATAGGGGGGAGGAGAGGAAGAGGCCAAAGGCATAGAGAGAGAAAGAAGGAGGGAAACCTAGACGGAAGGAGACAGAGGGTCCCCATGTCCCAAGCTCTGTGTCTGAGCTGGCTAGGCATTCAATAGGAGCTATTCTGGGCTCCGCATGACTTAGTTCCTGGGCCAATGGTTAGGATCTTGGACAAGCTTTGGAGTGGGGGAGAAACAGCCTGGAAGCTTCCTTTTCTCCAAGCCCTCGGGACCTCTATACCTGAGGTGTTCAGCCAGTCCCCATCTCTCAGGCCCCCAGCTGCCCCTCACCCCTCTGATGGCTGCTCCAGCGAGGCTCGGCGGCCTGGCTCTCAAGCACCAGGTCTGCTGTGCTGCTGGGGGGGAACAGCTCCTGTAGCCTTGCCAGGTCCCCGGTGTAGAGGGCATTCTGCAGGGCCATGTCACGGCAGAGCAGTGGTGATGGCTGAGGGGTCCCCTGGGTTGGGCAGGACTGGAGCCCCCAGACCCGGCAGGCAGGGGTTGAGGGTAGGCATCCCAGATGGTGCTCCCAGGGGGAAAGGGACTTCCTTCCCCTGGGCATGACTAGATTCTGGGAGAGAAAGCTGGTGCTGGAGGACTGGGGACAATGCTTGGGGCAATGCCACTGGATGACTGGGCCGGTGGGCGCTGGGCCCAAGCTGGGTGGGGCTCAGTGTGGGAGGAGAGGAAGGGCATACACAGACCAAGCCATAAATAGCCCTGGCTGGCCTGTCTGTCAGCACCCAGGATGGAACTCTCAGGCTGGAAGGAGATCTGGGGAGGGCCAGGAGAACAGAGTAAGGCCTAAGCTCTCCAGCCTGTGCTTCACCACAGGATTGGATGACATCAGAGTTGGAAGGGGCCACCCAGATGCTGCTGTCCAATCTGGCCAACCTGTCATCTCACAGATAAAGGAAAATGGAGCCCAGAGAAGAGAAGTGATCTGCCCAAGGTCACACAGATAACTTGTTTCAGAGCTGGGCTAGAACCTGGGATTTCAAGCTCTTTCTTGTCTATCACCTGCTTCCAGCTACTTGGGCTCTGATCCCACGGGGAGGGGCTGTGGGTGTCAGATAATGTTCCCTGCCCTCCAGATGGCATCAGGCACTTTCCCACTCCCAAACCCAAGGGAGGGGATCATAGCAGTGACAAGCAGCAAGGCTACCCCCACTGTGCAAAAATTCTGCCTAGGGAATAGGGCTCAGCCTACAGGCAGCAACAGAAATGCCCCACACCCATCCTGGGTGCCAACCCCCCACACTCATCCTGTGTACTGACCTCTATGCCCATTCTGGGTACTGACACCTCATGCCCATCCTCGGTACTGACACCCCCCATGTCCATCCTGGGTACTGATCTCTATGCCCATCCTGGGTACTGACACCCCCCACCCATGTGTATCCTGGGTATCAATCCTCCATTTTCTTGGATAACTTGTCGATCTCCCAGATGACATCTCTACCCTGTCATAGTTCGATGGGGTTTCAGCTAGACAGTGAGGAAGAAATGCCTCTGTCTCCTTAACCTCCAAGTCAGGTTAAGACTGTTCTCTTCAGGCAAATAAAAAGAAAAAAGAGGAGAAATAGTAAGAGCAAGCCGGGCTCAGGTCTGGCTCACCACTCCCACCGTAGGCTGGGGTGCTCCAGCCCAAGCAGTCTCACCTTCTCTGGTTTGCACTGGCTCTTTAAAAAAATTTTTTTAACCAATTTCTTTTTTAAAAGTTTTATTTTTAATTGATAGACAATAATTGTATATATTTATGGGGTACAATGTGATGTTTTGCTACATGTTTACTGCATGTAATGATCAAATCAGGCTAATTACCATATCCATATTTCTTTGTGGTAAGAACATTTAAAATCCTCTTCAGCTACACATTATCACCATATCACACTATCACCATGCTGTGCAGTAGTAAATACCTAGTCCTGTGTTACTGTAGCATTGACCCACTGACCAACATCTCCTCTTTCCCTGTCTGTCTCCCGCCAGCCCCAGCCCCTGGTCACTGCCCTTCTGCTTCCATAACTATGATCTTTTAGATTCCACATACGAGTGAGATCATGTGGTATTGTCTCTCTGTGCCTGGCTTATTTCACTTAACATAATCCCTTAATGTTCGCCAGTTTGGCACAAATGATAGAATTTCCTGCTTTTCGAAGGCAGAATATTATTCCATGTATATATCCTTCACTTTTTTGGCGGGGGGGGGGCTTTCAATTTTTATTACTTAGGAAAAAAAAACTTTCCTTTTTTGAATTTAGCATCCTGACTGCACTACGCCTTCAACAACTCCACGACAACATTCTACTCTTCAATGGGAAAGCACATGTGATCCTGTCACAGACACAGGGAGCACATGTGGAACCACCAGAGCCCTGCTGGCATGTTTTTCCACTTTAGACACCCTCATAAGTACTTTAGGTCCCACAGCACGAACACCTGCGACCTACCTGGGCAGGTGCCACATGCAGATATTGGTGCTACCCCAACCTTCCTGGTATAAAGGATAACGATCCTATTAGCAGAGGGTCAGGACAGCCTAGTGTTGTTAGAGGCCATATTGTAGGAAAGCCCAGGACCACATGTCAAATGTTGCACTATTCTGAGCGCTTCCAGACAGTGTCCCTGGAGGATGCTGTGCCTCATTTTCTATGTGGATCTTCCACTGATGGACACTTAGGGGCTTCCATATCTCAGCTTTGTGAATAGTGCTGCAACGAACAGAGGAGTGCTGATTTCAGTCTCTTCCACGTGCTGATTTCAATTCCTCTGGGTATATACCCAGTAGTGTGATTTCTGGCTCATAAGGCAATTCTAATTTTAGTTTTTTGAGGAACCTCCATAGTACTGCCCAAAATGGTGTATTAATTTACAATACCTCCAACAGTGCAATGTCCTTGTCAACACTTATCTTTCACCTTTTTGACAATAGCCATTCTAATATATGTGAGGTGATAGTTCATTTTAATTTGCATTTCTATGATGATTATGAGAGGTGTTGGCATTTTTTCCATATATATGTTGGCCATTTATATGTCTTCTTTTGAGTTTTGAGAAATGTGTATTCAGCCTTTTGCCCACTTGTAAACAGGATTGTTTTCTTGGTATTGAGTAGTTTGAGTTCCTTGTATATTGTGGATATTAGCTCCTTATTGGACGTTTGATTTGCAGTATATTTTTCCCCAATTTTTGGGTTATCTCTTCAGTCTATTGTTTCCTTCTCTATGCAGAAGCTTTTTAATTTGATACAATCCTTTTTGTCTATTTTTGTTGTGCTTTGGGTGCCATATCCAAGAAATCTCTGCCTGACCAACGTCATGGAGCTTTCTCTTATGTTTTCTTCCAGTATTTTCCGGTTTCAGGTCTTGTACTGGCTCTTACTGCCTGTGGACGCACCTTGACCTTCGGTCACACCCTTGTACAGTGCCCATGGGTCTGCCTTTTCTTAGAGAACTCTGGGGCTCCCCAGCTCTTAGTGGTATGATTGCCCTTGCTCCCCAAGTTTCCTGACCCACCTGCCCTTGAACTATTCTCCCTCTATCAAGGGGATCCCACAGATGGACTCCCCATGGCCCCCAGGAGCAAGAGGCTGTGTCCCATCAAGCTCTGGAGAATAGGCTGTGGGTCAGAAGACAAAGCGAAGAGCTGGGGCAGGCCAGGGTACCAAGGGTGGGATCTTTGGAGGAAAGAGAAGAAGACCACTCAGAACAGGCACTGGGTCTACCAACAGCCCTGTACCTGGCCACAAAGCCCCTCCACTTCCCCATACCCTTGCTCAGCTCCCCAACCCTCCTCACCCAGCACCCTCACCTCCCTGACTTCCCAGGCACTTTTACTAGAATAAATGAACCCTAGAGTAGAAGGAATGTTAGTGAGCAGCTGGGCCAGCCTCTCCTCGCCACACAAGTGAGGAAACTGAGGTCCAGAGAAGGGAAAGCATGCTCCAGATCACACAGGGAGCCAGTGCAGGGGGGGAGTAGGGTTAACACCAGGGATGCCCCCTTTCCAAACTCTTCTTTTTTTCTTTTTCTAAACTATGGACCTTCCTCCTCCCCTCTCTCCTTTTTCCATCTCTCCCTCTCTTTGAATGTTTTCTCCCTTAAATACCTTGAGGAGGAAGAGAACTGGGAGCCAGGACAGAACAATAACAAGGAGATGAAGACATGAGGGTGGGAGCCCAGGACAGGGATCTAGGAGCCAGAGCAGGAAGATAGCAGTGAGCTGGCAGGGGACAGGGCCCAAGAGAAAGAGGCAGGGGCCAGAAGGGGCCAGCTGGGGGGCACAGAGGGAGGGGTGGGAAGACATAGACATGGATGGACAAGAGAGTGTCCCTGAGTCATCTGGGCATTTATGCTTCTGCCCCCCTGTCCCTTCACCCTTGGGGCATTCCCCACTCCCACCCCACTAATCTTAGGCACCCTCCAGCCTCAGCTATCATTTCCTTTTCTTCTTCTCCTTGGCCAGCTTGGCTTCCTCAGCGTCCAGATAGTCCTTGCTGAGTTTCAAGTTCTTCTTGCCCAGTGGAGTCTTGAAGTACCAGTCCTGGGATGGTAGGAGCAGGAGGGGCAAGTCCCTTGGACCTGACTCTGGGTTCTGCCTCTTGACCTCACCCCTCCCCTTCTGTGGACCCTGTGCCCTCAGCAGCCTCTTCTACCCCTCGAAGCCTGGGAATCCTGGAGAAATGGGGTCCTCCTTGCTCCCCACTCAAAACTCCAGGCCACAGTGCCACCCATCTCAGGGGCAGGTTCTTCCTCCATTCCTGCATCTCTCTCTCCTGGATGCCACTGACTCAGGGGGATCTGGGTGGGTGACAGCTGGTCCTAGAACCAGCAGAGCACTCCTAATAGTAGGTGGCCCTTTTGGGCTCCCTCCCTTGGGAAACCAGGTAAGATGGTTTTGCCCACAGGCTCCTACCTCTTGGCCTTTCCTAGTCATTTCTTTTTTCCTTCCCATGGAGTCCCTTGTTCATTTTAACCCAGTCATCTCAGGGAGCAGAGGAAGGGGTCCAAGTTGTGTTTCAGGGGGTTGACTTCCCGACAAGCACAGCTTACTGGCAGCCCCAGCCCCCATCAGCCTCACCTTCAAGGACTCCTCCTCCTCCCTGTATACTGGATCTAGTTTTGCCAGATGTCCCAGGAATTCTGAAGCCACCAAGGGCCGCTTGACCAGCTGCAGGAGCCGCCGCTCATTCAGCACTGATTGGATGGCTTGGAGAATGTGACCAGGCGTGTAGCCATCAGACACCTTGGCCAGGGCACTGATGTCCAGGCTCCGGGTCATTTGAATGCCCCGGGCTTCTATCATATGCTTCCAGAGTACTACAGGTATGGGGAAGGACACAGACATGGGGGACAGTGGGCACCATGCCAGGCAGCATGGCCTGACTAGCCCCTGCCCTGTGCCCACCCATCAGCTCCTCTCCCCCAGAGAGCTATAGGCCCCTGAGTGATAAGGACCATCTCCCTGGAGGATGTCTGTGACCTGCCTGTTTCCACACAGCAGTGGCAGGACTAAGGCCACTGGGTTGCTTACCCAGTGGCCCTTCCAGAATACCTGGCCATGGAGGTGAGCACTCATAGCAGCAGTGGGTGGTGGGAAAAGAAATGGGCAGACTTTGGCAGGGGTCTCAGTCCCTTAGTTTCTCTCTGGCCATTCCCCAACCCCAGACCTCACCAAAGCGAGAAGCATAGTCAGGCCGGGGCATCAGAAGAATCCGCTCGTAAACCCGGCATAGCCCCTTCAGCTCTGCCAGATGTGGCCGGTCAGTTGTCCCAATCAGCATCACACGGTCTCCAGGAACCAGCAGTCGCATGGCCTTGGTGAGGTCCTTCTTTATTCTCTTTGGGTCCATCTGTCCCAGAGATAAAGGGATAGGACACAGTGATGGGACATCCAAGGCTCTTGAAGCACAGGCCCCAGGCTCAGCCCAGGGGTGCTGTCCACCCTACTCTGAAACAGGAAATCAGGTGTGAGGAAGAGAGGGGACTTGTCCAAGGTCCCAATAGGTGAGGTTTAGAGTGACAGGAAGAAGCCCTACTGGTGGCCCTGTCCACAGGGCACTGCGTGTCTGCACTCCTTCACCTCCTTGTCTTCTTTTGGGATCTTCTTATAGAAGGTCTTCTCAGCATTTCCAATCCAGATCACAGAGGGCTGCAGGAGCCGGGCCACCTGGACAGGTTGGAGAGTAGAAATCAGACTCAAGATGTTCCTGGGCAAGGGTCTCATCACCCAGGACCAGAGCTGACCTTGGAGGCCTCAGCTTCCATGCCTCACTTCCTGCTGGCCCCACATCCCACCTCAGTAAGGACCAAGCCTCTGCCCTCCATGGGGGGGCGCATGCTAAGCCTTATCTTATTGTGCAAAGAAAAGGCTCTGTTTCCCCACTTCCCCCTGCACAGAGGCTCCAGGAGGAACCCCAGCTCCTACCCAGAGTTCACAGAGAGACCTCATCAGTTCAGTTCCTGAAATCATACCAAATAAGCTGATGGGTGACCTCTTCAGCATAAAGCCCACCCTGCTCTGTTATCACAAGTCTAAGAACCAGAAATGGCAAAAATCATGGGTCCCAGACCTTAAAGACTATATGCACCATCATCTGTGTCCCGGTCTTGCCAGGATATTTGCCCTGCAGGTTGCCGGGTGACAGGTCAAACAGGTTGGCACCAGTTTCTGTGCACACAGCCTTAACTAGCATCTTCTTCCCCATGCCGGAGGGGCCCACCAGGAGGATGGAGCGGATAAGGGGAGCCATGGCATGGATGTCTGGGGAGCCTGAGAGGAAGGAAGCAGAGACCAGAGGTGGGTAGTGAGCCAGGAGAAGGGGAGGGGCTATGGAGGGCCCTGTGTGAGATCAGGCCAGGACTGACAGGGAGGATGAGGTTGGTCTTGGTTGTACTACTGTCCCCCAACATCTGAGCAGTTCCACTGGGGCTCAAGCTGGGAGGTGCAGCCTGGAGACTTTGAATGGCTTGGCAGTCTCAGCTGTGAAGAGCTGCATATGTGGTCAAGAGCGAGCCTGCTACCTCCTTCCAACACCCTTTCTGTTTTCTATACCAGCTGCTTCCACTCCTGGGCTATGACGAGGCAGAATTAAAAGGCACTTGAGACATGGCTTCAAAGATCTCCATCCCTGATATTTAATAGGGCTGTGCCGCTGATCTTCTAGGAATGAGCTGTCACTGGGATGAGTGAGGGGCTAACCGTGTGGGTCAAAAACCCACATGACTTCCAGGGTAGTTCAATCCGGGTGTGACCTCCAGCAGGGCCTGGAGGCCCTGGGGATTCGAGGCCCAGGCTGGACATGCTTGCCTCAGTAACCCTGCCCTGAACCCCAGACCTACTCCGAGAGCCACCTGCCTGGCACTGGCTCTTCTCGCTCCCCAGGGCCTCTCACCAAGACGCAGGACTGCATACAAGGCCATGTTCTGTCGTATGTCAAACAAGGAGGGCATGGGCAACTTGTTTGCAAAAGTCAGAGTGGATCCAAGATAGAGGCAGTCACCTAAGGGGACAGGTTGCCATCCTGTGAGTGGCAGTTCCCCAAGGGGAAGGCAGGCTGGTGGGCTGGGGTTGTGGGAAGCCTCAAGCACTGTTTCCCAGGCTGGGAACAGAGGTTGGGGGAAGGGTCTCACCAATGTAGTCTTTCAGTGCTACCGTCTCACTCTTCTTTAGAAGGCCTAAAACAACAAGTTCTTCGTACAGAGTGTCCAGGGACCTAGGATGATGCAGGAAGACCTCAAGGATGTTATCAAGCAAGGGCTTAGGAGACTGAGGGCAGAGATGGGGGACTCTGGGCAGGGGTTAGGGTAAGTGGTCCTCCTGCCCATACATTAGTGACTCAAAACATCAATAGTGCCACTGTATAGGCACATCCAGAGGGCATGGCACCAAATCGCCACCCCAAGGCACAGGCCTCCCATAGTGGATGCTCTGTGAGAGGCATGACAGTGATGTCCTCTGCCCACAGGTCCTCCATGAGAAACTCAGTTGTTTGGGTTAAGCACTGCCTTCTTCTTAGAAACCACACTCAAGATGTAAATCCTCTTGGGAGGGATGATCATTAAAGAGGCTCATGTCAATGTGCTCATGAAGTAGAAAGGCCCTCAGTGGCCCCCCTCCAGGAGGTTCAGGGGGAAGGGAGGACCTGGAAGGAGGGAGCAGAGGTACTGATATCACAAACTCCACTTGTGTCACATGCTGCATTATGCCTGCATAGCTAGCTTGTGTGTTTGGCAGGACAGGAACTTGGAGAACAAGGCCAGGGAGTCAGAGAGGTAAGCAACCTTCCCATGGTCACATGGCAGCAGAACAAGGACTAGCAGTGAGGCCTGTCCTCTACCACCACCATGCAAGGCAGGCACTGGAGGGTCTGCTACCTGTTTGAGGTCAGGTCTTTTTCCTTCTTCTTGCCAGTTTTCTTCCCAGGCTTTTTCTGTTTGGAAACAAACACATAGATCATTGTTCTCTAGGCCTTTCCTTTCCCAAATGCCCTCCCCTGCTGGGCCCCAGCCCCTCATCTTGCCTTCGGAGGCTTCAAGGGTCTCCCCTCCTCTCTGTCCACGGCCAGTTGCATGTTCCTTAGTTCCTGGCGCATCAGCTCATCCACCTGGGGGAGATAGCAGGGGCAGGGCGGCCTGGGGTTAGGGAGGACTACAGAGAGGTGAGGAGGCAGGCAGGGCAAAGAGGAGGGAGGTGTCTTCCAGAAGCCCCCATGAGCCTGGTGAGGGCAGCAGGGACAGCCACCAACTCCTCCCCGAGTATGTCTTTGCGTTCTCCTCCCTCCCTACACCTGTCCACACCCAGTCCTGCTTTCCCTGAGCCTTGTTCTCAACAGTGGACAACATGAGGAGAAGCCCCCAGGTGGAGTTCAAGCCCAAGATCCACCCCTCAAGGTCTCTGTGACCTCAGGGAGTACTCGCACTACCTTTTAGCCTCAGTTTCCCTGTGTGCCATCTTAAAAACCATGATACCTCCCTTATGGATTGTGAGAAAGAATACATGATCAAATGCTCCTAAAGCACCTGGCATGGGTGGGTCACAATGTCAGAGGACTCCTGACAATATAGTGGGGTATCAGCCCCTGGTCCAGTCTGAGCCCAGCTCTGAGCCCCTTCAGTGCCTTCACAGCCCTGCTATGTCAGGCTCCCCAGGGAGAGAGGGGGACAGGGAAGCAGAAGAAGGTGGGAGTTAACTTGTGCAGCAGGAGTAACTGGGACTATGCAGGCAGGTAGGGAGGTCCACAAAGGAAGAATTGGGCCAGGGCTAGGGGCTTGAGGACAAGAGGGAGGCAGACAGAGGGCTGAGGACGAGCCTGGCGTAGGCCAGGGGTACTTGGTACAGAAGAGGGCCAGAGTGGCCTATAGGGAAGCCCTGACCAGTGCTCACCTGTATCCGGATCTCCTGCTCCACTTCCTTCCTCTTCTCCTCCCGGAGCGTCTCAGAGTCAAAGTTCTGACTGGGGTGCATGCCGTCTTGCCGATTCTTCCACAGGTCTGATCGCAGAAATGGAGGGATGTGTGAAGGTCAGAGCCCCGGGTGTGCATACATGTGTACATGCACAGACACAGGTCAGGGACCTGTCCCCTTCTGGCCCCCAGCAATGCTCCTACCCAGACCTCAGACAGAAGCTTGAGCCCAGGACCTGTGACCCCTGGACTCAGACCCAAGCCATGACACCCCTAGCCAAGGAATCACGCTACACCTCCCACTCTCCCCTCAGCCTACATAGCCACATAGCCACACACAGACCCAGTCTCACAGCCATATGGCCATACCTCCCTACACACATGGCCATACCCACCCACCCACACACACACAGCCACACAGCCATACAGTCATACACACACAGAGCTATACAGCCACATGGTCACACACACAGCCACACAGACACACCCCTACAGACACACACATAGCCACATATCCCACACACATAGCCCCCTCCCAGCCACATAGCCACACACATAACCACACAGACACACGGCCACATACATAGCCACACACACATAGCCACAAAGCCACATGACCATACACCCACACAGCCACACAGCCACAGCCCAAGTACACACATAGCCACCTCATGGTGGCATGGCAGAGGCCCACTTTCCACAGGACCCAGGGCCCCAGGACTCCACAAGGCCCAGGTATTCTCCCTGGCCCCCTTTACTTAAGTACTCCTCATGTCCTGCGTTAATTGCAGGGATGACCTTGGATGGCAGCACTTGCAGTGTTATGTCTTCCTAAAATAGAAATGACCTTCTTGGCCCTGACCCTCCCCTCTGCCCAGTCTTCCAACTAGGAGGCTCCCTCCTCCCTGCCCACTTGCTCCTCATGTCCAGGAGGCATCTTACCCCCCTTTTGGCCTTTTCTTCCTTCCCTTTCTTCTTCTTCTCCTTTTTTTCATTTTCTTTTTCCTTATTTTTTTCTTGGTCTTTTTTTTTGTTCTCCTGAACCTGCACCTCCAGCTCCATTCTCACCTGTGACCAACGATGATGAAAGATGTTTCAGGAGAAACATCTCTAATAGGGTCTGAGATTGGGCTGGACCAAGGATGCCCTGGGCCTAGATGGGGTCCAGAGACTTTGGTAGGGGCTAGGGAGAAAGGGGAGCCTAAGAAGGAGTGTGGGGATCCAAGCTGCTGCCTCCCCTCGGCCACAGCGATCTGGAGCCATGAGTCTCCGCAGACACATCATCTCCCCTCCCTGACCATGGACGCCTTCCCCTGCCACAGGCTCCTCTTGCCCCCCACTCCATACAGTCTCTTGGCCACCTGTGCTTCCTCTGAGGCTGACCCCTCACCCACCTGCTGCCTCCTTCATCCCACAATCCCTACTCTCTGCAACATTGGGCTCTACCTGCAGCAGAAACCTCCTGTCCCCACCTCCAGGGTACCTGTTCTGGAGTTTTGTCTGCAAAGATCAGGTAGGATCCACCTAAGGACTCGTCTGGATAATCAGGGAACCGACCAGTAAGGGCGCTAAGTGAACATAAGATGGTTGGAGAGATAGATGGGAGTTGGTGGGGGTATACTGAGGGTTGACTGCACAGATGGATGGGTAAGTGGATGGATGGAGACCTGGATGGGTGGATAGAAGGGTAGTAGATGGACCGATAGAGAGAAGAGTGGAGAAAGATAAAGTATCAGGGAGACGGAAGGAGGGAGGGAAGGAATGGACATTTGCAGACAGAAAGGACAGACTCTCCAGGGGCATTCATAGAGGCTCCTCCCATCCTAACTGGCATTTCCTCCCCTTTGTGGAAACAGGAAGTCAGGTGTGAGATGGTCTTGTATATCAGAGTTAGTGGGGGAGGGAGACAGTCTGGACCAGAGGGCAGAATGGGGCTAGCAGGGCAAGAGCAGGCTTGGGAACACTGGTGTGAGAAGGAACGGAGAGGAGGATTATGAAGACACTGACTGGCACTCGATGAACCACTGACGGATTTGTTCCTTCATATGTTCCTTTATGTCAGGCCCCTCCGTCTCTGTCAGGGAGCTGTGGGCCTTCTCCATGGCCACCTGGAACTCCTCCTCCTTTTCCACCTGGCGGAGCCTCCGGACTTCATCACCAAGGAAAGCCTGGGAAATGATGCCTAGGTGCTCCCCCTGGTTGGGCGGGGGCAGCTAGGGGAGCAGAGAGAGAGGCCAAGGGGCTCAGAGGTGGGCATGAGAGGACCAGCACCAGTTAGCACCTACTCCTACCCCTGCACACCCGCACACAAGCAGTCTCACACCCTCACAGAACGACTGGCAGGCCTGTGTCAGGAGAAACTGTGTCTGGAGCCAAAATTCGTCTGTGTAAATTACTCTGGTAATGAGTTTGCTAGATGCATCCGGGCGCCCCCCTCCAGCACACCCTCCTCTGGAGCCCTCGGCCCAGCCCCCACCCCGCAGCAGCCGTTCTCCCAGCCACTTTCCCGCCTCATTGGCTCCCAAATGTATTTTAAATATCACTCTGCGCAGAGACAATTACCGAAAACGCTGAGCTCACACTGTTGATGGGCCCGGGCGGCCAGGCTCATTCCTCACCCACTGCCGTGCTGTGCACCCCCCAACATCGAGGCACAACCCTTGCCTCCCTTCTCCTGCTCCTGCCTCCTGGGGGTCTAGCTCTCCAGCCAGCCCCCTCAAAGTGTTCACCTTCATTTCCAGCCCCACCAAGTCTTCACCTCCATTCCCATAGGGGTCCAGGGGGGCCTCCTAGCCTGTCAAGACACCCTGGCTCTGCCCTCGATGCTGCCAGTCCTGGAAAAGCTGCCTTCCCACCAACCCTCCAGCCCCCAGCCCAGCCTTTCTCAGCTCCCTTTGCCAACAAGGCCTCTGTGGGATCTGTCCAGGCAAAGTCCCTGTCTCGGGAGCATGACCCTCACCCCTATCATGGCCTTCCTCTCCTAAGGCAGAGGAGACTCACCAGATCAGCGAACTGTGAGAGAGCAGAGGACAGACAGGAGCAGGGGCCAACTCAACCCACCTGGATACACACACTGGCATACCCAGGGCCTCAACCTCCACCATCTATACTCCTCTGTGTGGGCACTCACACATTACACAGCTCACACTTTGCCATCCCCCCCGCCACAGAAACAAGTCTGGGGCCCATAGAACAAATGGGGAGCCTGTGGCCTACAAAGCCCCAGTTGGGGGAGGGTGCCCCCACCCTATCACAGCCCCAGTGGCTATCCTTGGCTGCAGTGGGCAGTGATGTACTCCCTCTGCACCCATCATGCAACACCTCCTTCCATCTGGGTGCAGGGACATGGGGTCCAGGATGCTCTGTCCTATGCTCCTCACCCCACCCCACATTTGAGATCCTTCCAGGGGCTCTTCGAAGGGATGTGGCTGAGTGGCTTTCCTATCTTTCCATCTCCTTCTTGCCCAGGATCCCCACCCCTACCCTGGCCTGAGTGAACAGTGTGGGGGCAGTGTGGGGCTGGAGAGGCAATGGGCAATGTAAGGAGGTGCTCAGGGGCAGGTCACAGAGGTCAAAGGAGAGGGATGGCGCCTGCACTGGCCAGCCCTGTGCTCTGGGCTCACCATGCCAATGAACTCCATCTCTGCTCGCCGGTCCTGCTGAGTGCGTTTCCTCTGCAGGTAACCTTTCCACACCTGGGGGTGGGAAACACGTGGGACACAGATACTCTCCACCAGGCTCAGGCAGCAACCAATCTCTCAGGGAGGGTCTGACGGTCAGGCTAGGAAGAGGGTAGGGCAGAATCCGGTGCTCAGGTGTACACTGAGCAGGAACCGGTAGAACAGGTGATTTCCGGCAAACAAGCCATCTAGCTCCAACTCCCCTCCCCGAGGAACTCCCTCCTCACCTGCCATGTATTTTGAGGACTAGGTCAGAATTCCAGCACCACTTTGTCCAAGAAGCATTTCCCAGAATTCTCAGTGAATATTTGATTCCACCCAGGCACATACCATCTGTGCCATAGGGAACATGGACCTTCTTCCCTTCATTATTGACCCCAAGGAACTGAGGCCAGAGAAAGGATGTGAACCTCTCCTGGGCCCCAGAGCCCATCAGTGCAGAGCTAGACCCATGCTCTTCCCCAGGCCCTAGCCATTTTCAGTCTAGAGGACCAATGAGTGCTGGTTGGCCAGGGCCACGGATACTGGGCAGCAAGAGGCAGGCCATCCAGGGCTTTCCATATGCATTGCAGTGCACCCAGGAGCAGGGCTGGCTCCTGTTCTCTCGTTTTGCCTTCATCTTTCTGCTTCCTTGAACAACATAGGACAAGCCCACAATGACAAGTCCTTCATACACTCGTTTCTTTTGTGAGTATGCTAGATGGAATGTAATACAGTAAGTAGAACCTCTGTAAGGTAACCACCCAAGGGACTACAACAAATGGGTCAATATAAGGAAATGGGCCCACTGTACTGACACGTACATATGGTGCATGTTTCTTCATTTGTGAAAATTAGGTCAGCTTAAGGACGTAGTCAATGCAGGGAGGTGGTCAACTATGGAGGTTCTACTGTATTTCTGTACTCCTGATATCTGTCAGCAGAGGCAAAAATGACTTGCTTTGGTTCTCTGGGGAAGGATAGGACTCTATCTTTGGGGCCCATCCTCCTTACTAGGCCTGCTTTAGTGAGACCTGTGGCCAAGGACTTTCTGCTTAGTTGGACATTGGTACAGACATCTCAAAGCAGGGGCTCAGACTGGGATGTTCAGTGCACTGATTTATAATGCAAAAATCTATTCCATTTGGAGAGGATACATCTTCAGACAGTTGTTGTTTGTTGGTTGTTTGCTTATGTTTTTTGGTGGGAAAAGCTTGTAATTCTCCTCTAATGGGCTAAGAGGCAGAAGTTCTTGAGGTGTGGAGACTTGAGAAAGAGAAGATGTGAGAAGAGATAGCTTTAGAGAGATAAAGAGGGTCCAGTCCCAGGTCAACAGTTTTCCAGAAAGAAAAGGTGGCAAGCAGCTCTCTATAAGAGGGCAGGGCCAGTAACCTCAGGCAGAGCTGCAGGAGCAGAAGCTGAGAGTGGCCCCTCCCTACTCTGGAATCTTCCCAGGCCCCCTCCAGTCTCTGCTCAGGCTGCCTCCCACCTCTGCCTATCTAGCAGCATTTTAGGGAAAGGTGGGAGAGGCCATGTCCATACACAGGAGTGGATAGCAAGGGCTGGCCCAGAGAAGTGTGGAGTTGCTGTGCAGAGGAGAGGAATGACAACCAGGATGGTAAGAATGCTTAGGAAACCTAGGGGGACTGAGCCTTCCACAATGGGGCAATATGGGAGAATGTAATTATATTTCCATGTTAAAGTAAAGAGTGACCCCAGATGGCACAGAGCTTGAGTATATTTGGATTACATTAGTTATCAAATAGAATTCATTCATCATGTTTCCCTTTACCTCAGGATCTTCTTTATCTTCTTTTTTTCTTTCTTTTCCTAGAGATGGGAGTTTTACTATGTTGCCCAGAGTTCAAGTGATCCTCTGCCTCATCAGGATACATTTTAGTGGCTCATTTTAACAGTTTTAAGAGTTTCTGGAATGATCACCTACTCTGCTTTGCTACTCTATTATAAATCTTTCTCCCCTAATTTTAATGATCCTTCTGCTTCTGGACCTTTTATGTAATAGAGATGCAGATTAAATCATAAGTAAATAAGATACATGCTTACTGGCTTATTAAAGTCTCTGGTTTAGAATCTAGTCATGGGGAAACAAAATCCAGGCACTCCTGTAAGCCATTGCTGAGCCTGGCAGGTTTCCTGGGGGAGGTGACTCTCTCCTAACCCTCCTCCTGGACACCCAAGGTTACCTTCTGTACTGTGACAGCTGCTTGGTCCTGACTCAATTTGTGCCACTCATCCTCCCAAATCCTCCGATCCCGCTCCTCCTCTCTTCGAATCTCTCGCATGAAGGTAGCCCGGAGCCTGCCTTGCCTGGCCCGTTCGGCCTTTTGCAGTAGAATTATGGCCTCAGTCCGGTGCATTGCTGGAACAGTCTGGCCAGAACAGGGGCCATAGAGTAGGGAGATGTTAGGGTGAGGTTTTGTCCAAGATGGGCAGGTGGGAGACCAGCCACCAAAGGACATGCTGGAAGCAGAGTCCTCCCAGAGCAGGTGGGTACCCTTGTCTTGTCTTGGTGCTGGAGGGTTACAATGACATAAGAGCAGCCTTGAAGGAGACCAGGGGTTTACCTAAAGAGCACTCTGGGGGTGGGTATAGAGCAGAGCTTCTATGTGGGCTTCTCTGTGTCTTGGAGGGTCTTGGAAGAGGTAAGAGAGGAATCTGGGAGGGTGGCTACCCCACTTACCTCATGGGGGTACACTGGCTCCATTCTGGACAAGATCTCAGCCAGCATCAGCCTTCGCTCCCGTATAGCACTGGACTGTTCCAGCAAGAAGTATTTGGGGATTGGAACCTCTAGATCCACCTTTGGGGCAATATAGAGGAAAGAGAGTCAGGAATGAAGTCTGAGTCATCTAGGTGACCCATTGCCGTTCCCAGCTGCTTACACACTCCTTCCACTACTCTCTCCATCCTAGAGCCCTGGGGTGGGGAACTTAACATGTTATGGGGCAGATCCCTCCAAGGGTCATTCCCCTCTTCCTCTGCACCACCTCCCACCAGCAGGAGTGGAATTCTAGAGCATCCTGGTAGGTGACAGTGATCCCAAAACTGATTGTGCATCAAAATCAACTGAAATGCTCTTGAATATTAATCCCTAGGTCCTCATCAGATAAACATATCAGAATGGCAGGGTCTGGGAGATCTTTTTTTTGTTGTTGTTCAAGTCCACTTTGCAGCTGGTAGGGGAGACTTTGAGACTGCCTTGCCTATGGAGCAGTGACTGACCCCTAACCTTGGGGCAGAACCAGGGTCATAAGCTCTATGCTGTAGAACAGCTTTATTATTATTATTATCATTACCGTCATCATCATTTTAACAGAGGCAGGGTCTCACTCTGTTGCCCACGCTGGAGTTAGAACAGCCTTCTAGAACTTGGCTGTGCACATAGTCACCCCAAGTTCTGCTAAAACGCAGGCACACATTTAGTGGGTCTGTCATGTGGCCGCAATTTCTGCATTCATGATGTGAGTGTGACAAGTCCAGACACCACGCTCCGAGGAGTGGGCCTCTGACGGCTGTGCTCCTTGATCCTCTGCAGTGCGTGGGTCTTCCTAGCCATGCGGCGCCCCCAAACCTAGCCTGACTCCATTCATCCTCCAACTTCCTCTACGCGCTGGTCCTGAAGCCCTTCTCCCACACCCACACTCTGTACTCTGTCCTTTCTGCCCGGCCCTCCTTCCCTTGTAGATACCGAAATGCTAAGGAATGCGAAGTTCAAGGTTTCCCCCGCCACCCTGCCTTCTCCCTCTGCTGCTGCACACCGGGGTGAGTTTGAGATCTTGCAGCACGCGGTCCAGGCAGTGGTACTCGCTCAGGTCTACACGCACCAGCTCTTCCTTAAGCTCCAGGACGCGGCCCACCACGCAATCCAGCAGGCGCCGCAGCAGCCGCCGCTTCTGCGGCTGCACCATCTGGTCGTAGGCGGTGTCAAACCCGCGCATCAGCCCCAGGTAGTGCAGGTAGAACATCGCAATCCGGTACTGGAAGGACTGCCGCTCCCTCTCGGGCACGGGTTCCAGCAGAGGCTGCTCTTGCTCCAGCAGCTCTTGCAGGGTCACATGGGAGGACTCCCAGAGGCGCTGGTAGGCTCTGGAGGGAAGGTAGCACCCCCACCCTGAGCCCCCAGCCCTTCCAACTTCAGTAAACAGAGGGGCCCACAGGAGAGTGAGTGGGTATGGTCTGCACGGATATGGCCTGAGCTTAGAGGGGGTGTGAGGTAGGGGTGCCTGGTGGATTAGCAAGGAGAGGAGGTGTGTAGCCCTTAGGGGTTCAGGAGGGAGGCAGCCAGAGAGTGGCACTTCTGTAAGGTAGGGGTCTTTTGGAGTCAGAGACAGTTGGTCTCTCCAAGTCAGGGTGCAGTGGTCTGGATGTTGGGTGGGGAGAGGGAGTGAGGATGAGTGTGGACAAGGGTACCTTCCCTGGAGCAGAGACCTAGTTCTGGAGCTAATAATCCATGGGGTCTGCAGAGTGAATGCTGGCCACAGCAGGAGCACCCAGGGTGGCCTAGCACCCAAGTTCCCCACAGCCTCCCTAGGACCAGAGAGATGTTTCGTTTTTTGCTCTCCTAGCCCTAGGGCCCCTCTAGCCCATACTCACTCCTCAGACATGGTGCCTGCTCCTATTCAGCTGCCCTTTTTGAGCTGATTATGGAATCCACAGAACCCAAAGCTAGGGGGGCAGAACAACCTGGTTTGAAGAGTTCTGACTCATTGTACCAAAGTTCTAGGGCTGAGGGGAAGGAGATGAGTGGGTGCAGGACTGGGGACATTTCTCTCTGTGTGTTGCAGGGAAGAGGATGGTGGCAGCAGGTGCCTAAATATTAGGCTTTAGAAGGTTCGGGCAGAATGTAGGGTTCATTGTTGCTGTTTTTCTTGTGAGGATCAAATGAAATGAGTCTATTTAAAGTCACCTGCAAACTGTGGAGCTCTGGGTGTAAACATGCTGTAAGGCATTACTTCCTGTCTTTATTCCTTAGAGGGCTGTGTGACAGAGGGGAAGGGGCACTGGATTTGGGGTCAGAAGACCTCTTTGTGAAAGTGAGCAGAAGCTAGCCTACCTTATGCAGACAGTTTATAAGGAACTAGACTCGTGTCAAGGGGGTTTATAAGGAACTAGACCCATGTCAAGGATTGCTAGTGCAGTGGGTGCTGCTCAGTGACGTCTGGGGCCCACCCTCAGCCATCTGTGGGCATTCTACCTGCCTGCTGCTACAGGCTTAGGAGACCTTTTTTCAGTTAATACAAAACATTATACCAGCAGCTGCCTTGTGCTGGTCAGCTGATGAGCTACTGACTGAGCTTTTGAGCTCAGTGTTAAGTAGGGGCTTATGAAGAAAGAAACATAAGGAACAGAGTCAAGGAAAGAAGGGAGGTAGCGGGGAAGAGGAACAAAGAGGAGGAATTCTCAAGCTTCGAAGTGTGTCCTATTAAGATGCAAATTTCATCCTAGATCTGAGGTGAACCCCAAGAGCCTGCATTTCTTTCTTTAGAGATGGGGCCTTGCTCTGTCATCCAGGCTGGAGTGCAGTGGCACAATCATAGCTCACTGCAACCTCAAACTGCTTAAGTTTGAGGAGTAGCTGAGACTACAGATTTTTACCACCATACCTGGCTAATTTTGTGTGTGTGTGTGTGTGTGTGTGTGGAGACGGGGGTCACACTGTATTGCTCAGGCTGGTCTTAACTCTTGGGTTCAAGTGATGCTCATGCCTTAGTTCCTAAAGTGGTGGATTACTGGTGTGAGCTACCATGGCAGACAACCAAGAGTCTCATTTCTAATAAGCTCCCAGGTGGTATGGATGTTGCTGGTCCAGGAGGCACACATCGAACGGCCAGGTTGAAACAGTGGGGAGTAGGTTGGAATGAGGCTGGGGGGAGGCACCTCCTGGGCCTGCCCCTTGCCAGCTATGGACCCAAATGTGAATCAGTTCTCTGTTCTCAAAATCCCACTGTGAGGCTTGAGGTCTGAGGTTTGCAGTGCATGTGAAATATATAGCACTGCAGCCATATTACAAGGTGATGCCTTTTTAGCACATGAAGTTGAGGGTGAGAACAAGCCAAGTCTAACCAATTACAAAGGGAATATAAAGAAGGATTTTTAAATTTGTCTAACTCTCACCACTTCACCCTCTTCAAGTTCAGAAGAGAATTTATGGGCCATATGGCCACAGGATAGAGCAGGGGCTGCAGGAGATAGAGAAAAAGCAAATGAGATATGATGTTAGACAGTAAATCCAGGTGAGGGATATGAGTGGCTGTTGTATTTTCTTGCAATTTTTCTGTGGGTTTCAGATTTTTTTTTGAGACAGAGTCTCATTATGTCACCCTTGGTAGAGTGCTATGGCATCACAGCTCACAGCAACCTCAAACTCTCGGCTTAAATGATTCTCTTTCCCCAACCTCCCAAGTAGCTGGGACTACAGGTGCCTACCACAATGCCCAGCTATTTTTTGTTGAAGTTGTCATTGTTGTTTAGCTGGCCTGGGCCAGGTTCAAACCTGCCAGCCTCGGTGTATGTGGCTGGCACCCTAACCACTGTGCTACAGGCGCCGAGCCTGGGTTTCAGATTTTTGTAAATAAATTTAGGGAAGAAAAGTTATATCCCTGTTGATTTGTTCTGAAGTTAAGGGGAAGAAAATGTTGGGAGAAAATAAAAAATATTATTGATCTCATCGGGCTGTTTAGAAGCTGATCTGAGCCTTTAGTTTTTTGTTTTTTTTTTTGGTTTTTTTGAGGCAGAGTCTCACTCTGTCACCCTTGGTAGAGTGCCTTGGCATCACAGCTCACAGCAACCTGAGTCTTAGGCTCAAGTGATCCTCTTGCCTCAGCCTCCCAAGTAGCTGGGACTACAGGCACTCACCACAACCCCCAGCTATTTTTAGAGACAGGGTCTCCTCTTGCTCAGGCTGGTCCCAAACTCCTAAGCTCAGGTAATACATCCACCTCAGCCTCCCAGAGTGCTAGGATTATAGGCATGAGCCACCACACCCAGCCCGAGTTTTGTAGAAATGAATAGATCCATGTGGCCCCTTCACCTAGCACAAAGCCTGTCATATGGGACACATTATAGCTGGTGGGAAATGGCATTACAAAACCACAGCCTAAAAGAGTAATACATATAGAGAGTTTCAAGCTCAGGGAAGCAGCCAGCAGTAAACCCAGGACTAGTCCAGGCAGCAAGTCCTACTTTAGTCAATACCAATAAGAACATTGTATGTTTACAAAGTACTGTCACATTGCTCATGGACACACCCAGACAGCAGATTTTAAGACTATGAATGTGAGTGAGTGTTGTTATTCTTCCTATGGTAGGAGGTACCCCTCCTTGCCCCAGACTACACCCCACTTCACACATCTCTCTTTCAAATCACCACAGTGCACAGGAGCAATTCACCCTTTATTCATCAGTCCCTGGGTCACTTGGAGCTAGTGTACTTGGTGACAGCCTTGGTGCCCTCAGACACAGCATGTTTGGCCAGCTCCCCAGGCAGCAGCAGCCGCACAGCTGTCTGGACTTCCCGGGAAGTCAGGGTGGTCCGGCCCGAGTACTGCGCCAGCCGGGCGGCCTCACCAGCAAGCCGCTCAAACACATCATTCACGAATGAGTTCATGATGCTCATGGCCTTGGCAGAGATGCCAATGTCAGGGTGGACCTGGAGAAACAGCAAGACCACTCTGTTAACAGGGCTGCCACTACAAACCTCATCCCTGAGCTGGGGGCACTAGGAAGCAAGAAGCAGGAGGCAAGTCCTCCTTGCCAGCCCCTCCCCAGAAGCCAACAGACATGCAAATAGGAATTTGTGTTTTCTTTTTACTACCATGTTATATCCAAGTTAAAAAAAAAAGTTTCTCCAACTATAAGAGTGAACACTATTAAGTTCCTATAAAAGTAGATGTAAGCACCTATATTTAACAAATGGGATCAGTTACATGTGCACCTTGTTTTTCATTTAATGCAATTATATGATGTTCCCTGGTATTGATGAATCATAGTTCATATCTCCTTTTGTTGAGATAGAGTCTCACTCTGTCACCCTGTATAGAGTGTCGTGGCATGATAGCTCACAGCAATCTCAAACTCTTGGGCTCAAGTGATCCTTTTGTCTCAGCCTCTCAGGTAGCTTGGGCTATAGGTACTTGCCATGACACCAGGCTAGTTTTTCTAGTTTTAGTAGAGATGGGTCTTGTTTTTGCTAAGGATGGTCTTGGACTGAGCTCAAGTGATCTACCTGTCTTGGCTTCTCAGAGTGCTAGGATTGTAGGCGTGAGCCACCATACCTGGCCTCCATTCTTCTCTGAATGGACATCTTTGAACCTTATCTGAGCATAATGAAGGTTATTCCCAGAGAGGGGAGACTGCAGAGTCAAAGGGCTTGTGCACTTGGTAGACAGTTACCAAGGTACTCTACAGTGAGCACATGACACAATCACAGCACCAAACTAAGAGATAAGAGACACATGTTCTGTGGCTATTCCATGAATCACTATGACCTTGAATAAGGCACCTTCCTCTGCGCATCAGTTTCCTCTTCTGTCACTCAAGCTTTTGGACTAGGTGATCACCAATAAAACAAATGGCAGGGACCCGATGACAATTCTAAAGTGACTAGATAGACCTTGTCAGATGTGAAGTGGGAGAGAAGTGGCCTACATGGAGCCAGTAGTGAAGACAGTACTAGCCTACTAGCCTGGGCAAGACCCATCCTTCCTGTGCCCGTCCCCTAATACACAGGGACCAGGGTCCTGACATCCAGCCACCAGCTCTCCCACTGCTTCTGCTCACCACCACCCAGGAAGTCTGCAGCTGGCACAAGGTTGGTTTACCCCAAGTCCCCTCTGTAGTCAGCACATCCTACCCTCCTTAGGGCTGCTAGAGTGAGAAATGGTTCTCACCCTCAGGAAGAGGTAAAGAACTAACTCAGCAGCATTCTCCTCACTGAGTCCAGGCCTGGTCCAGCCAGTCATTCACAATTTCTTTCTCTCTCTCTCTCTCTCTTTTTTTTTTTCAGTTTTTGGCTGGGGACAGGTTTGAACCCACTGCCTCCGGTATATGGGGCCGGTGCCCTACTCCTTGAGCCACAGGTACTGCCATATTCACAATTTTTGAGCCCTAAAGTTGGCTAAGCTGCTGGACTCAGTAACACTCACACTCTTCTCCCTCAGGGCATGGGAGTTTGTCCTCTGGTGCATTTCTTCTGGCCAACCCACATCAGAGCTGGGTCCACCCTCCACCCAAGAGCACCTCAGACACATGTTGTCAATCCACTAAAATCACTACTGGGGTTCAAGCTGGAGGCAGGCTCTACCTCTGGGACTGAATGTAACAGGGACAAGAATTTTAGGCAGATTGGCAAGCCAGGGTACCAACACAGCTACCCCCACCTGTTCCTGGCCCTGGCTCTGACTAGGACAGTGGCTCTGGATCCCCTAGTCTGGTTGTTGGGTACCCACTGGTGTCCAAGTGTCTGTAAATGTGTTGACTCCCAGAAGTTAGCTGCTTCTTGTGGATTAATAAAGGGTACCTGCATCCCCTTTGTGTTAGGAGTGACACACAGGAAGGATGCTAAGGGCTTGCCTAGATAGTGGTCAGTTTGCCACTATCTGGTCAC